AAAACAAAAAGGCATGTAAGATGGAATCCTTAAAAATGGGGAATAAAGTAATGTTATATGCATGAAAACCTTGTATTTTAGAGAGAAATTGAGCTCATTGGGAATTAACTATCCAATAAATTTATATAAGATTATAGCTTCAAGCTGTGATGGGACCCAAAGTCAGCATTGATTGTATCTGTTTCTTACTTGCTACCTCCCATACATAAAAGGCTCATTTAATTAACTTCTTTGTATTTCTACTACTGTTGCTAGTTAATAGAGGATCTAAATGATGACTACCTGTAGTGTAGATGTACTCTATTAAACTCCAACAATCAATCAGAAGCTGGAAAGCCATCTGTGGAGATTTTTAAAGTTGGATTTCTGCTCTGAGCAAAATATGTGATTGAATTAAATGAGCCTTTTAAGCTCTATGTATGGGACGTAGCAAGTAAGAAACAGATACAATCAATGCTGACTTGAGCTAGAAACAGAATACCATGAGACTATGGGTCTCATCACAGCTTGAAGCTATAATCTTATATAAATTTATTGGATAGTTAATTCCCAATGAGCTCAATTTCTCTCTAAAATACAAGGTTTTCATGCATATAACATTACTTTATTCCCCATTTTTAAGGATTCCATCTTACATGCCTTTTTGTTTTGGCAAAGTTGGCCTTATTTCTGAACATTCCGGCAAGGAAACAGGTATGTAAGCCCAACCATATTCTTTTCCTATAATCCAAGTGCAAAAAGAAATACTCCACCAAAAAGATAATTATATTTATTCCTCAAAATATATATTTAAGAATAGTAATACAGTTGAATCCTTGCTGTATTACTATTTACTATATTACTATATTTATTACTGTATTACTACCGGTATATGTATTATTGAGCTGTATTATATTGCCTTGCTTTTTTTTGAAAAAGGAGATTTTTTTAATGCCAGTTATAATTGTAACTCTTAAATAAATATTCATGTACTCACTTCTCTGTAACTACAGGTAAGACTGGAGTTGATGTCAAATTGCTTCTTCCATTTGATGATTCAGACTGTAAATAAAGATATCCATTTACTGTCATTCAAACATTAAGAACATAAACTGCATTTAAATATATACCCTGATAACATGAAACATATAATCTGTGTATTTTCCAAATAATTAATTTATCCAATAGACAACAATTTCACTATAAACTGGAAGATTGATAAGTACTTCCTTCAGAGTTTTAAGACACTTTTTCACTTCCAGCTGCATACTAATGACATGTGGAGTATAATTATAATCATTAGTTTATATTTATATGAATCTTTATATATGCCAGATTTAGAATATATGGAATTTTTAAATAATTGAAATCAAAGTTTTATTCTTTAAAATAGAAGAGAAGAGAATTCTTTATTGGCCAAGTGTGATTGGACACACAAGGAATTTGTCTTTGGTGGATATGCTCTCAGTGTACATAAAAAGAAGATTTTTATGACAAAGATTTTTCCTCAAGAATCATAAGGTACAACACCTAATGATAGTCATAGGGTACAATTAAGCAATCAAATCAAACTAGAAAACAATCAATATAAATCGTAGCAACAAAGTTACAGTCATAAAAATGTATTTATATACAATTTTCCAAGTTTAAATTTTACCAGGGTAGATGACACCAAGGGTATAGGTGACTGGCTAGGTGACTGGCCTGGGAGCTCAAACTTTGAAACAACAGCAACACTGACTCTCCTTCGAGGCAACTAAAACAAAAAAGCGTGTTATATTTCAATTTAGACATTGCTGATAGTTTCATGGGAAATACAATTAAACATATTAGAGCAAAACATGCAGAAAGGAAACCATGGGACTTCAGGATACAGTTGCTGTACAACTCCACCAAATTTACAAAGTAATTTTATTGTAACTTTCAAACAGCGGCAATAGTTTCTGCAGCTCCATAACACTTCTGTAAAAGAATCTAACAGAATGCAAAGTGCAGGATAATGTTATACATGTTTACTCAGAAGCAAACTTCATTGTCTCCAGTGGAGTTGATTCCCTATTGGTGCCTCAGGTCTGCTGTCTCTCATTTCATTTCATTTCATTTGTTTGGTTTGTATGCCGCCCTATTCCCTGAAGACTCAGGGCGGCTAACAATAAAAAGGGAAGGGGATACAAAGATAAAAATAGAAACAACAATTTAAAATTCAATAACAATCGTAACCTCGAATGGGGTTGGATAATTCAACAGCCGGAACAGCCAGGTCTTAGTTGCTTTGCGGAAGGCCGAAAGGGTAGTAAGGGTCCGGATCTCAATGGGGAGATCGTTCCATA